CAGTGAATATGATCATATTTTGCACACACACACATGTATTTATTTTTATTTATTTATTTTATATTTATTTTGTATTACTGTACGTATTCTAATTTTTCGTCTATCCTGATGTCTGTTTTTTTTGCTTGTCTTGGGCTGGACTGCTGTAACACATCAAATTCCCTTCGGGATCAATAAGGTCTTATCTATCTATTTCATGACGAATTGAGTAGAATGCTTTCTTTACAAAGCCAAACCGCTCTGTGTAATATTCCGGTATGAGGCCCCTGTATTTTCCCGGTCAGTTACTGAATTTCAAATTAAAACGTCACTTTCCGATCACATAAAAATGTTGTCTCACGTTCCGTGTTTCCTCGGCGATTAGGATTTAGCGACACCGGAGGCCTTCTCGAGAAACCCCTCTCGAGTATGGGAGTTTTACCACTACCGCCGGGAGGTGATGCTGACCAAGGAGCCCAACCCGGCCCACCTGGCCATCGCCGAGTGCGAGGCGCGGCTCAGCAAGCAGGGCCGCTCCGTCATCGTCATCACGCAGAACATCGATGAGCTGCACAAGCGGGCCGGCTCCAGGCACGTCTTGGAAATCCACGGTAATTGCGCCTCCTTTCTTTCAGAAGCGCCGGGCGTTTTGGCGGCGGGTCTGTCTCCGGGATTCGCCTGCCGGCCGAAGGAGCCACCGAGTATCCATCCTGCGCAGCCCAGGCAAGCGTCAAAGGCGCTAGGCCAAAGGGCCCTGCCCCTCGCCACTGGGCAGTGATGTCACAGTGCAATGACCTGTGCCCCCCGATACATGCTAGTGTCTCATCATTTTAGATCTTACATTCTGTAAGCAGTAGTGCAGTGAATGCATGACATTTTAGTAGTAGAATTAATGAGTATTTGTTTTTATATTAAGTATAATGATACTTTTATAATGAGTATATATTAAGTGGAAGTACTTCCCCATGTTAAGTACTATACTGAGTCGTTTTCAGATGTGCTGTGATGCAGACTATTTATTTCTTTATTACTGTTTCGATATGTCACGAAGTACACTGAATACGAAATGGAGCAGAATTTTGGTTTTTTCAGCAGATACGTTAATAGCAAGCACTGTATCTGTGGGTCTCGCATTTCCGTAGTGCTTCTCAGCCCAAAAGATTGCACAGTGCTTTACACACGCTGTAACAGTGGTCCCACTGAAGTTATACACAATACTGAAACATGAGTAATTTTGAGAATGGTAAAAAATTACACAATGGTAGTGTCACTGGTTTGCTGTGATATTCAGTTGCTTAGCTAGGTTGTTAAGTAATATAAAAAATGGCAAAAACATAAATAATATTAGAAATGGTAATGTCCCTGGGTTGCTGACTAAATGGAAGTTATTTTTCATATCGAGAGTATTCATAATTAAAATTTAAGTTGACTGAAACACTTTGAAGTTAATAAAATACTTTGAAGTTAATAAAATACTTTGAATTTAAGTGAATAAAATAA